AGCAGATCCACTAGTTTATCACATACTGGTCCACTCAAAAGCTGTTGAAGCTGTGAATTGTAGTCAAGCTGAGGAACGTCCTATTGACACAGAGCAACCTCTGATAGTTCAATATTGTGCTAGAAAAACAGTCAATTCAGGCCAGGTTTTTCATTGTGAGCTGAAGCCTTTGAAATATGAGTCCATAACTGTGCAAAGATGACCTATTAATGGATTCTAATTCAAGTCAGAATTATTAGACCCCTTAATTTTTTCCCCCTTATTAAATATTTCCTGAGTGATGTTTAAAAGAGCAAGGAAATGTTCACAGTATGTCTGATAATATTTTTTCTTCTGGAAAAAGCCCAATTTGTTTTATTTCGACTAGTATAAAAGCATTTTTTAAATTTTTTTAAAACATAATTTTAAGGTCAAAATTGTTAGCCTCTTTAAGCTATATATTTTTCAATAGTCTACAGAACAAACCATCATTATACAATAACTTGCCTAATTACCCTCACCTGCATAGTTAACCCTTTAAATGTCACTTTAAGCTGTATAGGGGGGCTAATAATTCTGACTTCAACTGTAGATGGTGAACAAATCTGATAAATCTACTAAGGGATAGTTCATCCAAAAATGAAAATTTACTCTATTTACTCAAGTCAGGGCTAAACAATAAGGACTGCTCTATGGCTCGGGGCCAGTGTGAGAGATGCTTGGGACAGTGGACAGGATTATTACTGGCCCGATTGGGACAGTGGCGCCTTGTCAGTAAAGTTTAAATTGTCTCTGACTATTTGTCTATTATGTGTGATTTCAGCATGTGCTTTAAGTCTTAAAATGCTATCTTCTCTGTGATGTCATATTGCTTTTCAGATCCTCTTTTCTGATTTGATATTTTGAGCATGCTATTTTTTCCCATAACCTGGTAACAACAAGTACAGCGAAGAGACAGCAACATGGCGGCAACATCAAATTATGAGGCTAAAATAAAATGTCTGTTTATAACATCTTGGAAGCAGACTTTTACATGAGAACACAACGAAAAAAAATGAAGCAACTTATATATTTTTTTATTTATTTGAACTTTTGCAAGTTGCTAGTCAGCCACCTTTTGTTAAATAATTTCGAGCTGCAATAAAAGACCTGTGCATTTTCCATACTGCACTTTTTGTTTGCATAACACTGAATTTTGCCCATTATACATTTATTAAACGTTTTTAAATACTGAAATTCTAGATTCACAGACTTTCTTTTTGACACATTATTCAAAATATGTGCCTAAAAAATAACTATTAACTTGTCTTTTTTTTTTGATGGGGCCAGTGAAAATTTTAGCAGGGCAAGTAAAAAATCTGAACCATTGCTCCTATCGGACCAGTAGAAAAAAATCCTTAGAGTTAAACCTTGTAAGTGTTTTCAAACCTTTATGTGTCTTTCTTCTGTTGAACCCCAAAAGAGAGATTTCGAAACTGAAAATCGGTAACCATTGGCTTACAGAAATGGAAAAACAAATACTGTGGAAGACTATGGTTACCTGTTTTTAGCTCTCTTCAAAATATCTTATATTGTGTTTTACACAAGAAATGAACTCAAATAGGTTTGTAATAAGTGAAGGGTGAGCAGTGCTAGCATTAAAACTCAAAGCACTCTTTTTCTCTATAGATATTTTCTCTCTCTCTGTAGATTAGTTTCTTTTTAAATAAACTGCATGTTAATATATATATATATATATATATATATATATATATATATATATATTATTTTTTTTTTTTCTAAGAGAAACGTTTATCTTCTTAATGTAAAATTAAATACAATAAATTCACAAACTATTGTATGTAGAGTTCATTAGCCATATTTGTGATTAGATTTGAATATTTGCGAGTGCAGTATGGAAGGAACGTTCCAGTATTCATGGGAACAAAAATTTTAAAAAATAAATAATAGCATTATAGTCTTAATGGTTATAGAAAGATTTTACAATATATGATAGAAAATGTATGATTAATATAGGCTTCTTGACATTGGTCAGGGCCCCTAATTCCCCTGGGCCCTAAGCGGCTGCTTACCTCGCTTATTGGTTAAGTCCTCCCTTGAGGGTGAGTAAATGATGACAGAATTAAAATGTTTGTGTGAACTATCCCTTTAATAGGGTGGCACGGTGGCTCAGTTGTTAGCACTGTCACCTCACAGCAAGGTCGCTTGTTCAAGTCCCAGCTGAGTTAGTTTTTGTTTATGTGTGGAGTTTGCATGTTCTCCCCATGTTTGTATGGGTTTTCTCTGGGTGTTCCGGTTTCCCCCACAAGTCCAGAGACATGCTTTATAGGTGAATTGGGTAAGCCAACTTGTTATTAGTGTATGTGTGTGAATGAGTGTGTATGCATGTTTCCCAGAAATAGGTCCGCTGTGTAAAACATATGCTGGACAAGTTGGTGGTTTATTCCGCTGTGGCAACCCCTAATTAATAAAGGGACTAAGCCGATAAGAAAATGAATATATGATAGAAAATGTATGATTAAAATAGGCTTCTTGACATTGGTCAGAGCCCCTAATTCCCCAGGGCCCTACACGGCTGCTTACCTCGCTTATTGGTTAAGTCCTCCCTTGAGGGTGAGTAAATGATGACAGAATTAAAATGTTTGTGTGAACTTTCCCTTTAATAGGGTGGCACAATGGCTCAGTGGTTGGTACTGTCGCCTCACAGCAAGGTCGCTGGTTCGAGTCTAAGCTGCGTCAGTTGGCATTTCTGTTTGGAGTTTGCATGTTCTCCCCATGTTTGCATGGGTGTCCTCCGGTTTGCCCCACAGTCCAAAGACGTGCTATAGGTGAATTAAATAAACTAAATAGGCCTTAGTGAATGAGTGTGTGTATGGGCGTTTCCTAGCACTGGGTTGCAGCTGGATGGGCATCCGCTGCATTAAACATATGCTGGAATAGTTGGTGGTTCATTCCGCTGTGGCGACCCCTGAAATAGAGACTAAGCTGAAGGAAAATGAATGAATATTCCCTTTATATGTCATGCTTTTTACTCAGATAAAAAGTCTCAGATTCAGGGTCTTAAACGTGTTTATGAATGACATTCTGGCCAAAAGATGTATTATATAACGTTTTAAAATGCCCTTAATGTCTGTAACTTCAGGTGAACACAAAAAGACAAACACTTACCATCAAAACACAGATAGAATAAACATAAACCGGTAACACTTTACAATATGTTAGTTAATGTAATCCCTATCATTAACAGACAATAAACAAGACATTTATTACAGTATTTATTCATGTTTGATAACATTAGTTATTGAAAATATAGTCGTTCATTGTTACTCAGTGCATTAAATAATGTTAACAAGCATGAGTTCATTCATTCATTTTTTTTTTACGGCTTAGTCCCTTTATTAATCAGGGGTTGCTACAGCGCAATAAACCGCCAACTTATCCAGCATGTTTTACACAGCGGATGCCCTTTCAGCTTCAACCCATCACTGGGAAACACCCATACACTCTCATTTACATACATACACTACGGCCAATTAAGCTTACCCAATTCTCCAATAGTGCATGTCTTTAGACTTGTGGGGGAAACCGGAGCACCCGGAGGAAACCCACACAAACACGGGGAAAACATGCAAACTTCACACAGAAATGCCAACTGACCCAGCTGAGGCTTTAACCAGCAACCTTCTTGCGGTGAGGTGACAGCCCTACCCACTGCACCACCCACGAGTGAGAGTTTTGTATGTTAGTAATGTATTAGTAAATGTTAAACTACTGTATGATTAAAACATTGTGTGCAAGTGTTGTTCATGTTACTAAATTCATTAACTAACGAAACCTTATAGTAAAGCGATACGCATAATTCAAATACACATTCTTTACTGAAACTATAAATACAATAGCATTAATAGCTTAATAAAAGCCTGAATCACATTATTGTCAGTGTTGACATGATTAGGGCCAGTGTTGGTGAAAGTTACTTTAGAAAGTAATGGATTACAAAATTGAGTAACTCCACAGAAATGTAACTAGTTTTGTTACTTGATTACTTTTATGGTAAGTAATGTGTTGTTACTTTTGTGTTACTTTTTATTAACTTCCTGAGGCTTAATCTTTTTTAGGAACTTGATTTTTTCTTTTTTAATAGTGGAGCTCAGCAATTAACAACACACTGTATTACCAACACCTACATTTACCTTTTAAAAGACATGAAAAAATTTTTTTTAGGATAATGTTATTTGTGAACTCAGCTCTACATGCCGTATGAACAGATTATTGAAAGTTTAAAGCAATGTGTTTTTGTACTATTGGTCTTAAAGGTGCTGTGTGTAAGTTTCTGACTCTTCTACAGCATAAAAATACCATAATATGTTTGCAGATATTTAAGAAACATGCTAAGTCAACATTCTTGTTTATCTGAAAACAATGCTGAAGTCAGATATTCTGCTTTGACAATGTGTCTTTGTTTTGGTATTTTTAACCCGTCCAATGCCAGTTTAACCAATTACATTTCAGCAGCCCGGGTTGCCTTACTGGAGAAACCGGGTATTTCATTCATAATGAAATGTAACCTCCAGTGGACAGTAGCAGTGTTCCATATGAGGTTATTAATTACCAAATAGTATAAATATTGCGAGCAAAAACATTAGGTGAGCAGGTTATATTGTAACCCCGTGTCAAAACACGCTACGTGACGAGATTTGCAGTAATAAGCAGTTTGGCTGTTTGCACCAGACGAAACCCGACAGAAATTAAAATACAGCCATTTAGAAGCACAGAATATGCACTCACTGTACTCACGAAATGGTAAGGTTTAATCTAATTAATACATAATAACCCTCTTTAACATTATTAAATGTACATGCTTAATCACTGATGTGTGTTTGTCACAGTTCTAAAATTTTATTTTCAAGATTTGAGGTGAACTATCGGCTGCTGCTTTAAGTATTTGACCATCAATGGCATGTAAAATGCCATTCAAACTCACATTGTTAGCATTGAACACTGAATAAAGCTCATGAGGTGTACCTGAGGTGATCATTGTAAGTTTTCTGTTGATCAGCTGGATGAAATAGAAGCCGTTTTTAATAATCAATTCGAGGTGTTGGTTAGGACAAAAACTCCTTTTAATATGGAGAATATTTCTTCTATCTCGTGCCATTGCTTTTATATAGAACATGATTTAAATCAGCCTTTAGGCTCGATAGTCAGACTCGCTCTTCTTGGTCCTCAATCTGGCAACTTACGCTTGGGTTTGTTTTGATATAGGAATTTAATAACTAGTTCAACCACTGGGTGTCAAACTTAAATACTGCACCTTTAGGCAAAGTCCATTGTCCATTGAAACAAAAACAAAAAAAGTTAATCAAATATTATTACTTCTTTTTTAAAAGTTATGAGTTACTTGTTACTTAGAAAAGTAATATTATTATTTAACTCGTGTTACATGTAATGCGTTACCCCCAAAACTGATTAGTGTAAACTCCATTTGTGAGCTTTTGTGCAGTTGTGTAAAACTTAATTTATTCTATTTTGTTTAAGATCAACGTAAAAAAACTAAAACAAGAGAAAAGTGAGGTAGTGTAAATTCTCTGACATCTCTTCACATCTTGTTGGCTTTCCAGGAGAGGTAAGAGTTCCAGACAACAGCCACGATCTGAACTACTGCCAACCTGAAACACACAAACATCAACATACAGCAGTCAATCCTTTTATCAAAGTTGTCCTAAAACTATTGAACAACACCCATTCTTGTCCTAGGACCATTTTGAAAAAGATTTTTGATCCACTTCAAATGTTGACTTCTGTATATTACCACAGTGCAAATCACCGTTTTATTTGTGAAAGAACGCAGATATCATGTCTAATGCCTCGATTGTAGTCTTGAGCAAGTTCTCTTTCAAGAAAACTGTATATTTACTGTATATTTATAGCTGTAATATGTATAAAGCACTTTGTGACTCTTGTTCTTAAAAGATGTTATAGAAATCAATTTGGCTGACATTTACTCACAATCATTTCTGACTCAGTTTATTGTCTCTTAATTACCTTTATAAATGTAATCTACTTTAACTAAAAATACGAGTTATTGTGTAAAATATTCACTAAATAACAAAACTCTTGTCGTCTATCTAAGTTTTATAAACAGCAAATAATAAAAGTGACTTTAAGTCGATCATTTGGTCGATCATGGTGCAGTGGGAAAATAATTAATCCTGTGTATGACTTCCATAAGCTTGGAGGACTACATCCATACATCTCTGCAATGACTCAAATAACCTATTAATAATCATCTAATAATCATCTGGAATGGCAAAGAAAGCATTCTTGCAGGACTCCTCGAGTTCATCAAGATTCTTTTTATTTATCTTAAATGCCTCCTCCATCTTACCCCAGACATGCTCAACAATGTTCAGTTCAGGTGACTGGGCTGGCCAATCCTTGAGCACCTTGACCTTTTTTGCTTTCAGGAACTTTTATATAGAGGCTGAAGTATGAAAAGGAGCGCTATCCTGCTGAAGATTTTGCCCTCTCCTGTGGTTTGTAATGTAATGGGCAGCACAAATGTCTTGATTGATACCTCAGGCACTTGATGTTGCCATCCACTCTGCAGATCTCTCACACGGCCCCATACTGAATGTAACCCCAAGCCATGATTTTTCCTTCACCAAACTTCACTGATTTCTATGAGAATCTTAAGTCTATGCGGGTTCCAATAGGTCTTCTGCAGTATTTGTGATGATTGGGATGCAGTTCAGCAGATGATCCATCGGAAAAATCTGTCAATTTTCCAAATGATCAACTGGAAGTCAAGTTATTATTTGTGGCTCTTACAACTGGGATCAACAACAAGACTTTTGTCAGGTAGTGTATTTGTATTTTGTTAATCTAATTCTCTGAATTGAATAATCCAGAACTGTTGAAGGCAAGTACATTTAAGTAACTAATAAATTGCATAAAAATAAAATGTAATTTATGTTGTTAATGTTTTTTTTTTTTTTTTTTTTCAGAAAAAGTAATCTAATGACAGTAACAAGTTAGTTTGTAACTAATTACACCCAACACTGCTGACTATTTGTTTATAAATGGCTACTTTCTTTAGGAAGAAAAAAAAAACTATTTCTGCAAATCTGCACTTTGGTCTCTGAAAAATTGTAGACCTTTACATTCTGAAAAAGCATAATAGGGGCACTTTAAACCAACAAACAAACACACACACGCACGTACGCACGCCTCACACACACACACACACACACACAAACACACAAAAATTGAAAGTTTTCAGATGATACATACAAACAGATAAAATATAAACAGAGACTAATTCCATTGTGGGAATTGAAGTGCCAGATAAACATCAAACAACACACAAAAAACACTAAATTCCCAAATCAATTGCTAATTAAAACTATTCCAAAATCTTTTCTTTCCTTCGTTTGAAATGCTTTGATAATGCTGTACAGTGTTTGTTCTGTTCTTTGCCCGGTGATGCTCTTAAATCTCCAGCACTGCTGGATTAATGCCCTGCTGCAGTGGCATTAGCATTAGCAATCATCACTTGACTTTTTGGGGCTAAAAAGGGTGGTTTAAATTTACCTGTGATGGAGAGGGATGAAATAAAAATTGGCGATCTGCACTGGAGGCCAAAGCTGGAGAAATGAAACAACAGATTAAACAGAACCTGAAAAGAAAGTTTTAAATACTGAAGAAGAAACAACACTTACATAGTAATTGGAGATCAATGCATCTGTGTAGTCCTATTGTGAAATGGAAAAAGCATAGTAAATATATAACTAAATCCCGGATTATTATTATATACTTTAAGTCTTGTCAACTATCCACTGTGGCAGAACACAACATACTTTTAATTCAGAAACAAGTCGTAGTTTTAATAAAAGCATTAAAGGTGCACCAAAATTCCAATTTAGATGCAACTCTTTAAAATGTTCAAGTAAAATGTAAAAAGAAATATCGAACAAATCATAATTTAAACATTTTTCTTACAACTCAAGTGACTTTCCGTGTCAAAACTGCAACAAACACTCAGAATTGCAAGAAAAAGCTCTAACCAAGAAGGTCCCTGGTTTGATCTTTAGCTTTGTTGGCGTTTCTTGTGCTGGATAAGTTGGCGGTTCATTCCACTGTGGCAACCCCGGATAAATAAAGGGACTAAGCCGACAAGAAAATGAATGAATGTGTTCCAAATCTACTGGTTGCGCTAACTGTACCACGTGCAAAACTGCCATCACATGGCATTCACTTGTATTGCATCATTAATTTACTAATTCTGAAACCCAACCGTTACTCAAATGCAGCATTTTAAAAACTCCCTTGCGGGCCAGATGAAAGTGTTCAGCGGGCTGCATATGGCCCCCGGGCCGTAGTTTGCCCATCTCTGCTCTAAACCATATTCATAGGAAAATAAAGAAAGTAAACAAAAACAAACAAACAAAACAACAACAAAAAGAAATTAATTAATAAAAAAATAACTTAACAAGTGACCCCTAAGTAAGCCATTACTGTTAAATGTCAGATATCAGACAATTTGTTTTCTTATAACACTCTTGGACAAGTTTTTATCATTCAAAAGCAAGAAAAAAAGACAGGGTTTCATAAAAAAAAAATAATAATACATTTACAAAATAAGAAAATGTTGCCAAACTGTATAGAAATCTTCTGTTTTGCCATTCAATGTATATTGAATTTTCTCTGTTTGAATAATCTGCAACAGGTCATACATCCAATGAAAGTAGTTGGGCGGAGAAGGGTTTTTCCAGTTCAGTAGTAGAATTTTTTTTCACCAATTATTAAGCAAACGGCTAATACACTTGACTGCAAAAACAACAATACATTTGTTGGATTAAGTCTAAAGATTGCTACTAAGAAACATGGTTCAATTTTTGGAAAAATATCAGAGATTGATTTAAAAATTGATGACCAAAGAGAAATTAACTATGGACAAAGCCAAATGGTATGATAAAGGGTCAGCATCTCACAAATAGGAAACATTTTTGGGTTTATTTTAGAAAGGTTAACTTTCAGTTTTAGTTTAAAACTTTATTAATCCCCTTAGGGCAATTAATTTCGACATGGTGGTGCTTTACATATAGTACAACAAGAATGAACCACTTAACACAATAAACATCAACACCTGACAGCAAGTACAAAAAACAAATAATAGTCCATTGAATAACTACATTTATTACATAACCTAATTGCTTCAGGCACAAAAGTAAATTTCGGAGGGGAACTCCCAAAATCTTTGAACACAAATTAAGGATGCCTTAAGGACGATTCTTGTTTTTTATGGACAGTGAAGAAAAACAACAAATAAAGGAAAAGGACAAAATACTTTCAATAAATGAATTGTAAAAGGTCTTAAGAATAACTTTGTCTAATAAGTTCTTGAATCAACACAATTCTTAAGTATTTTTTTAGAACAATTTAACTGTTTTATGTTCAATTCCTTTAAATTTGTAAAAACACTGAAGTTAACTTCATCAATTAGTGTTGGGACAAAAAAATAGGATCTGTGTGGAACCCAGTATGTTTTACAGAGTTGCATGTTTCTGAATATGTCTGACAGGATGTTCTAGTATATAAATAATTCTCATTCTAAAGGACATTTTATGTATGTCATTTAGTTTGTAAGTCAAACATGGAATCTATTTGTAACTCAAAAAAACAAAAAAAAATCTATCTAATTATATAGAAAACAGCTTTAAATGAAGTATATACATTAGACTGTGCACAAATAAATCAGCGATTTAACTAAAAGGATTGAAGTAGACTATTTTTTGCCCTCATCGTGCAGAGCTTCTGTTCCAGACACAAAAGAGCTTGTTGCCTGTTCATTCATGCTTTCATCATGTCAGGACTAATGAGTGTGCTACCTAAAGCCTAAAGCGCTCCGCTCAGGCAGAGACGCAGCACGCTCCCCTTAAAGCGCTGTAAAAACACAAGTCAAGTGCTGCCATATAAAACTCAAGTCATCTGGAACACGAGAGCCATCTCTTCAAAGGTCATCCCAGTGAGATTGAGTGTGTAAAAGAAGCCTGTATTAGAAACTTGTGCTTTTTTCTGTTTGTACTCTTTGCCTTAACAGTTTCTAATTAAGCAGGAACAAGGCAATCGGCCACCTGGGGTGAAAGTACCTCGGGGCGACACGTCATCATATTGTTTCCCCCCCCCGAGTTTTTACGTCACAGGAGAACAGAGAGTGCTCTTTTCTTGTTTTGAATGTGCAAACACATTGAAGACAACAGGAATGCTAATATCCTGCATCTTCAGAAGTGAGCGACATCAAAGAGTAGCTGATTTCTTTCGATGTCCTGGAAAATGGACACAACATACCCGTTTTGCTGGCAGTTTGATTGACAGGCGATCCGGCCAATCATAATGCTGATATTCTGTGTTGCTATCACTGCTTGCTATTTCTTCAACAAGCAGAAGAGTCAGCTTAGACTAACCAAGTATGATAGAGTAACACTGGTGATTACCATAAGAATTGGTGACTATGACTCATATAGGTCTTACAATGCAGACAGCATATACCCAAGAAAAGCTGGCCATATGGTTAGATCTTTTCCTGAAAACTAGAGAATTGAATTAAATGGATAAATTTGTGTGGATAGCGACCCCACCATTGACTTGACGACTCGAAACGCGAGTACTCCGAGAATTAAGTTCTATTTTTTTGGAGGGAGAGAGAAGAGAGTTTCTACAGGTGGTTTGTCAAGCCCACTCACCTGTGTGAGGCACACTTCATAAAAGCAGTGTTTTTTATGTTAATTATAAGAATGTGTCTGGTGCAAATGTGCAAAAATGGTGCAAACGTCAGTTAAAGTGTCAGAGAGATGAAAGAGTGTGTTTTCTACAGGTGGTTTGTCAAGCCCACTCACTTGTGTAAAGCACACTTCATAAATGCATAAAGTTTTTTTCACTTGGAGTGATTGTATGAGTCTGCAAATGTACAAAACTGGTGGAAATGTTGGTTAAAGTGTCAGAGAGATGAGAGAGTGTGTTTTTTACAAGTGGTTTGTCAAGCCCACTCACCTGGGTGAGGCACACGTCATAAAAGCAGTGTTTTTCATACTGATTGTAAGAATGAGTCTGGTGCAAATGTGTAAAGCAGTGTCGGTTAAAGAGTCAGAGATGAAAGCGTGTGGCACACATTAATGCATTACTGTCTGAATGCTCATAATGTTACCGTTTGTGAATTATGTGTTAGGGAATCAATTTGTAATATTTTGATTATATTTCATAATATAATAAATGTCTGACTGTGAGATGGGGAGCGGGGCTTTCCAAACTACTTTGTAATTAGTTTTACACTGGCTCTTCCATGCTATATAATAGTGTTGGGTATAGTGGCCCTTTTCTGAAGCTTTCAAAGGCACAAATTCATTGTACAATTAACCCATATGCTTCCAGGGTTTATTACATGTCTTCTGAATTGGTTCAATGTGCTTTTGAAACAAAAATATAAATTTTTTTTATTACAAACTCAAATCACAGATTCTCAAAAACGACTTTGCTGCATGGAAAGGCCAGGATAACATTTAAAATGACACCGATGTGGTGCTATAATTACAACATTGCTGAATCATAGGTCTCAAACTTGGAGGGCCACAGCTCTGCACAGTTTTGCTCCAACCCTAATTAAACACAGCTGATCCAAATAATCAAGGTTTTTAGGGCGCACTTACACTATGCTATCTGAACCGCACTCTGCGGTTCAGATGTGCTTTGGCGCAGTACACTTATAGTGAGTGCAAAGCGCGCCTGAGCCTGAAACTGAAGACGCGAAGCCACTTTTAAGGGACTGTTTCATATGGATTTATTAATCATTCTTTCTTTTCAATGAACACAAACTGTTATAGTCTATTAAAGACGCAAACCCCTCGCTGCACGACAGCTGCACCTTAAGGAAACCTCCTAATACCTGCAGCATGAGGACTTTTACAATTATTTATGAGCATCAAAAGTGGCTGATCTGTTCGGCAAAGTATTTGACTGCGTGTCACTGCATACTAAACGACTAAAAATAATACAAAACGATATAACTAAAGCAATGTCCACTGTGCTGAGCGACAACGCCTCTCTCTGTTAAACTGAACAGTCGCATCATCGATGATGTAAGCATGCTCAGGTCCGGTTGGTAATAAAATGCAATGTGAGTGCAGGCCGAGGGGGAAAGGGGATGGTGGACAATCGCGCTTTGGCACGGTTCAAGGCAACTGTACCTAATGTGAGTACGCCCCAAGACTACTAGACACTACTAGATCAGCTGTGTTTGATTAGGGTTGGAGCAAATAATAGATGCGACCCTCCAGGAATTGAGTTTGAGACTTATGATCTAAATAGTTTTGGAGCTGGATTTTTTTGAAAGTTACTATAACGCATGAATTGAGTTACTGTAAAAGCTACTTTAAAACATGAAATTTCCTGTTGCCAGCAGGCGGCACTATGATCAGAACTGAACATCAAATTACAGTTGTCTTCAGGCCAGAACTCTTGTAATGTTTAGAGCAGATTGCATAAAGTATGCCTTACAGCAGGGTTTTTCAAAGTCTAAGACAGTGGGCCTCCCTTTTGACACAACTTATCCATTGGCGCCCTCCTCCTCCCAAACACGCACGCACACACGCGCGCACACACACACACACCTACAAAAAATTCTGGAGGTTTTCCTGCTACCTCATCATGCTTGGTTTCAAGGTGTCGCCGAAGTTTAGCGGGTCTCATGCTGTCATTA